TGATGGAGGGCTAGTGAAAGCGTCCTTAGCTTTGAGCTGAGGGGTTAAACGCAGTTGAACGGGACAGTACAAAGTGGGAGCTGGCAGTGTGCCCAGCCCTTCCCAGCCTCACTTTGTGCTTCTCTTCCCCCCCCCCCCAGTCAGCCCCCATCTCCCCTTCACACATACTGTCACCACCCCCACCCCCCAGGACCCACTGCCCCCTCCTTCCCCCATAAGTGGTAATTTGCAGTCCCTATGATGGGAGGGGGGCTGGACTCGCATTAATTCCCCTCACCCTAATGAGGCAGCGCCTGCTCCTGCCCCACCAGCGACCCTGTCACTGAGCCATGGCTGAGACACAGGATAGCCCCTCCCTGAGCCAGAGGGAACCCAGGAGTCCTGGCTCTCAGACCTCCCCCTTCTAACGCACTAGACCCCACTCCCCTCCCGGAGCTGGGGATAAGGGAGGGGAGGGTAGAGCTGGGGTCGCTCAGCTTCCCTTCTGTTGTGTCCAGGGTCCGTTTTCACACTCACCCCCACATACCCTCACAGGCATGAACCAGCCCCTGATTCTCTCCCTCCCACATCCCTCCTCCTGCCAGAGCCGCCCGCTGGCTAGCCAAACTCTGACCAGCATGCGTGTCCCTCGCACACCCAGCTGGGTGCACAGGCTCTAACCCCCTGCACACTCAAAAGGCCCTGAAACACACACACACAGACATTCCCTCGCCCCTGGCTGTGCACACTCCCCCGCACCTGGCTGTGCACACTCACACCAAACCAGCCTGCTTTTCCCATCAGGCTCACACGCAGAACCAGCAAACATGCACACACCCACCCTCTGAACTCACAAACACACGCTCACCCTGCAGGCTACCCTGGCAGTGGGGCTGAGCTGGGGCAAGAGTAATGGGCCCACAAAGGCTCCTGTACCCCCATACTCAGACAGACCCGGGGACTCAGACTCCCCCAGCTGTGCTGATGACGTCAATCGCAACCCACCGCCCCCTGCTATCCCCACTCTGGGATCCTGTAAGATGAGCCTGTGCCTCCCCCATATCTCCGCTCTGTGGGGGAGGTGGCAGGAAGCTTGTGGGGAGGTGGGGCTGTAGCTCCAGCCAAGACAAACAGACTGTCTGGGCTGCTCCTCTGCAGAAGCCTGAGGCCTGGGCCTGGCTGATTTCCAGGGACCGTCCATCCTGTGGCACAGGGATGGGCCAGGCTGCCCTACCTGGGTCTCTGCCTCAGGTGGGCAGCCCAGGGCTGGGGTGGCAGGGGGCTGTGGGTCAGGAGTGAGGGGCACCAGCAGAGCTGGGGGAGGCAGGACTGCGAGAGCAGGGGCCTGTGGGTCGGGATTGAGGGGCACTTGCCGAGCTGGGGGAGAGACCAGGGCTGGGATAGCTGGGGGGCTGCAGGTCAGGAGTGAGGGGCATTGGCAGAGCTGGGGGTGGGGAGTGTTCCCCAGTTCCTCTGTGCCTCATTCTGGCTCCTGCTGCTGAGCCATGGCTGGGACTCACTGGGTGGTCCCGGCACTTCCTTTCCCAGCCCCACTTAGCTCTGCCCCCTGCCCGACCTGGATCACTGATCCCCCCCGCACACTGCTGGGACAGGCCTCCCTGGTGGGTCCATGCAGTGGGGGAGAGGTATGGGGGGGCTGCAGGCTGGCTTATTGCACCCCACGGCCAGGGGTCACGAGTGACTTGGGGGGAGCCAGGACACATGTTCAGAACGAGTCCTTGGGGGCCACATGGGTCCTCAGGCTTCTGCACGCGTGTGAGATCCCTGCATGGGCACACTCGTGGCCCTGCTCTTCCTGATATGCCCACCCGCCCGCACGGCATCCGCCCGGCCCCTCGTGCTCACGACGCACCCGCCCGCACGCCGTCCGCCTGGCCTCTCGTGCTCACGACGCACCCGCCCGCACGCCGTCCGCCTGGCCTCTCGTGCTCACAATGAGGCCATCCGCCCACACGGGTGTCTGCCTGGCTGCCGAGCAAGCGCCTCCCCACCACAGTGAACAGGGACAGAACCCTTTTAAACCCCCCACTGGTGAAGGACACCCCGTCCCCCAAGAGCAGAGCACCGGAATGGTTCACTCTCTGCAAGTGCTTGGGGGGGAAACATTGGGGGTCTCTGTGGGGGAAAGATTTGGGGTCACCACAGGGTGGATGGTAAGGATTAGGGGCAATGGGCTGTGGGGAACTGTGGGGAGTATGGGGGGCTGGGCTGGGGGATTATAAGGAGCCATAGGAAGGAGTATCAAGGAATGGGGGCCTGTACTGGAGAAGGGCAGTGCCGTGGGGGTGGCCTTGCCATGGGGGGCCATGGTGTTGGAGGGTGGGGGGCCCTGGGGGCAGGTATTGGGGCTGTGCTGGGGGAATGGTGGGGGTGGGGTGGGGGTGTCATGGTCGATGGGGGAGGCAGGGGACTGTAGGAGTGGATAGTGGGGCTGTGCCAGGCCAGTGGGGGGCTGTGCTGTGGGGGAGGCCGGGGGGGGGGGCTTTGGGACAATGGGGGGCCATGCTACAGGGAGTGAGGGGAGCCAGGCCGAGGAGGGGTCCCTGTCCCAAGCACACAGCCCCATCTGCTCTTCATTAGGCCCCACAGAGCTGAGATTCTTCTGGCTTCTCTGCCCGTCTGGCTCTAATTAACCCTTCTCAACACTCCCCCCTCTCCCCGGCACATTCCTGTCCATCTCGGGGGGGACGGGGACGGGGGGGACACAGGGAACTGTGGGTAAAGGGGCAGACACAGTATGTTGGGGTTCAACCTGCCTGCCCCCAAATACACCCCCCCATAAACATGCAGAGTCAGCCCTGCCCCCACCCCACCCCACAACTCTGCTTCTGCCAGTGCCCCCTAGTCCTGACCCACAGCCCCCCTGCTATCCCAGGCCTGGGTCTGTCCCACACGCAGGCTGTGTCAGGAGGGGTAGGTGTGTGGCGGGTTGCCTTCCAGGTGCGGTGTTGTCAGCACCTGAAGGCTGCAAACCCCCTTAGCTGACCATAGTTGGGGGATGCCGGCTCCCCCCAGCAGGGCCCAGGGCCTGCGCAGCTCCCTGATCCAGCCAGCAGGGGGCAGGGTGAGCACACACTTGCACTAACAGTTGCACAGACACACATCGTGCGCAGGCCGCCTAGCTTGCTCACTGTCACATTTATAGCGTTTGCTCAGCCCCGACCCAGGGAAATCTATGGGGGGAACATCAGCGGGGGGGAAGGGGCATGCACATCTCAGGGGTGAGGGTGTTCCCACTGGTGTGTGTACGTGTGTCAGTGTGCTTGCACCAATGTGTGTGTGCGTGTGCATGTCTTGGGGGGGTAATGCATGTGTCTGTGTGTGTGTGCTCACACTGGTGTGTGCTTGTCATTCTGTGCGTGTGCGCTCGCACCAGCATGTGCGCACATGTGTCTTCAGGGTGGTGTGCACGTGTCTCTGGGTGTGTGCAGCGCCTGTGGGGGTGTGCATGTTGGTATATGTGCATGTGATTGTGTCTGGGGGGGGGTCAGTGCGCATAAATGTCTCTGGGCACGTGGGGGGGGGGCTAGAGTTCAATTGGGCACAGACATTGGGAAACTCAATCAGTTGAAGGAGCCAAAATATCCTTCCCTTTCCTCTGCCCCCTTCCTCTCCCGGCCCCCCATGCCTCCCAGCCCCCCCCTCCCATTCTCCCTCCCCAAGGAGCCTGGGGGCCATTGTTTGCCAAGTGTTTGCGTCAGGCCAGAGTCTGTTTCCAGTTTGTGTTAACAGGCCGGGCGGCTCTGGGGCAGAGAGCCCAGGAAACCTTCCCCCAACCAGTTGGGGTGGGGGGCTCCCTGGGCCCCCGCAGTATTAACCCTTCACTGCATGGTGGGCTGGGGGCAAGGAAGCCCAGGCCTGGGATAGCAAAAGGCTGTCGGTCAGGACATACAGGCAGGCACTGGCAGAGTGGGAGGGGGGAGCCCAGGGCTGGGATAACAGGGCATATTTCCCTGCGTAAGAAGCTGTAGAACATTTCATCCATAGCCAGACTCAGTTTAAAATATTTACTAATGGTTTGTACACGTTGTATACAGAGAAATCACTTCCCTGTCTCTGAGATGCAGCCACCTTTGGGGTGGCGCACGGGGGGCTGTTTACACAGGGACTCCTCACCTGGCACTGAGATGAAGCCACTGCTGGGGCTGAGCATGGGGTAGGGATCTCTCACCCAGCGCAGAGATGCAGCCACCTCTGGAGTGGGGCGCAACAACTGGGATTGCAGGATAGTTTAGGGCAGGAAGTGAGCCTCTGCTTCTTCTCACAGCCTCCTGGAGGTCTCCCATCCACAGACCTGCCCCAGCTTAGTGTAAGAGCTGAAGACAGCCCAGCTTACAATGGGACAGGGGGATGGGCTGCTCCTGGCTTTAGTGAAGGGTTAAGGCGGGGAGCCATGTCCCACCCCACCCCAGTGGGACACAGACTCTGGGGGGCCATTGCTCCCTTGGTGGGGAAGGCCCCAGAGGAGGGGGGAGTTGGTACAGGGAGCTTCCTGCCACCAGGAGCTTTAATTACACTCTAATTACAGAGGCAACAGCAGACACAAACATCCCTGCCTGCTCCCAGGGAGACCCAGGAGTACTGCCCCTCCCCCCCTCACACACTCTAGCCCACCAGCCCCCACTTTCCTCCCAGGGCTGCGATAGACCCAGGAGTCCTGGACGGCCAGAGGGCCAAGTGTGGGGCTCAGTAGCCTAATACCCCACAGATTTCTCACATGATGCCCATTCCAAAGTTTCCATCATGGAGTCAGGGGCTGACTCAATAAAATTGTCTGGGAATAGAACCCAGGAGTCCTGACTCCCAGCCCCCCCCCCCCCCCAGTAAAGCTGTCCAGCTGCAGGCAGTGTGGGCTCCACCCCTTTATTGTGAGAGCAACACACGTTAAGAATGGAACAGCATCTGGGGAGTCCCTGAACCTCCACGCCCTCAGAGGGCCCCCATATTCTCTCCCCGAGACCTCCCCAACCCCCATTCTGAGCCCCCCCATGACTCCCCTTCCTTCCCCTATCTCCAGGCCCCCACTTCCCACCCTTCTTGGCTCCATGACCCCTAGTTCCAGAGGTCTCTCAAGTCCTGTGGGCACTTCTCCATCCCTGTCAGTTTCTCGTAGCTTTTCTGGGGTGGGGGTAGCTGTGGGTCTCATCAGGGGTTCCCCACAATCAGCGGGGGGCCCCCAGAGCAGTGGGGGTGGCTCCTGTGTCCGTTTGGCAGAAGTCCATGGAGCAAGATAAGGAGGAACCCAGCCCTGGAGATGAGTGGGGGCCCATGTCCCAGCCAGGGTGCAGGGGATCCATGTCTCTGCCCTGGATCGTGGGGCCCAGTCCTAGTTCTAGTGCCAGCCCTGGGAAGGGGGTGATTCCATCTCCAGGATGGCCACTGGGCAATTCCAGGGGACCAGCTGATGGAGGCAGGACAGTTTGGGGGGACCATGCTCCAGCTCGAGAGTTGGGAAATAAATGGGGGGTCCATGTCCCAGCTGGGGGCTAAGGGGTGGCTCCAGGGTCCCAGCTGGGGGAGGGTGATGGGGTGGCTCTGGACTCCGTGCTCCAGTTGGGGTGTCCATGTCCCAGCCAGGGGGCAGGGTGGCTGCAGGGCCCTTGCTCCAGCCAGGGCATCGGCCTCCATGTCCCAGCCAGGGGCTATGGGGTGGCTCCAGGGTCTCAGCTGGGGAAGGGTGCAGGCCAGTCCTGGCATCCCAGCCAGGGGGTCTCGTCTCCCAGCTGGGAGTGGGGGGAGGCATCCTGGTCCCTTTGTGTTCTGGGCCCCCCCCAGTCTCAGACGCTGGTCCGGCAGGTGGTCGGGTGGGCCCCTGCAGAGGGGTGCGGGGGCCCCTTGCCCCCCGCACTGGTGACCCAGCGGTAGCACTGCGTGACGCTGCGGCTCTTGGCCCTGGCACCGCAGCGGGTGCAGTACACGATGCCCAATGCCACCATGATCACCAGGAAGACGCAGAGGGGCACCAACAGTGCCACCAACAGCCACCGGTCATCCCGCTTCCTCCGTGCCCGCTCCCCGCCTGGAGAGGTGCTGGGGTCCTCTGAAGGAGGCAGCGGAGCCCTGGCCCTGTCTGCTGCAGGGTCCCCCTCCCCCATGCTGTAGGGTGAGGCAGGAGCACCAGGGGACCTTGGAGATCTGGGGCTTGGGGGGCTGGTGCTGGGGGTTGGGGGGCCAATTGTGGGAGTGATAGCGGGGCTCGTGTGAGGAACTGGGGGGCCATCGGTGGGCTCTGGGCAGGCAGTGGATGTGGGAGGGATCCGGGTGGTGGTGCTGGGGATTGGGGGGCCAGTGGTGAGGTCTGGGGGAGCAGTGATTGTGGAAAGGATTGGGGGGCTGGTGGTGGTTGCTGGGGGGGCAGTGAAGGGGCGAGGGGCTGAGTGGCCGGTGCTGGGGTGCGGGGCTGCAGGAGAGAGACCGGAGTGGGAAGCAGTGGGGTCGGAGAACGCCCGGGTCAGGCTGAATGGCTCGTCCGTCCCCAAAACCTGCAGCACCTCCGCCCCCCACTCCTGCTGGTCCCCGAAGCGCGGGTAGAAGGTCTGCTGCCTGGTGGCCAGAGCGGGGGGCTCTGCCAGGGGGGCACAGCTGATGCCGTCAGCCTCCAGCTCGTAGCCCTCGGTGCAGTAGCACTCGAAGCCGCCCACGTAGTTGACGCACATCTGCTGGCAGACGCCGGGGATCTGGCACTCGTCGTTGTCAACGCAGTGCTGGGGCGCCTCCTCAGCCGGGCTGAAGCCCAGGTGGCACAAGCACAGGTAGGAGCCCTCGGTGTTCTCGCACTGGTGCTCACACGGGGCGGTGCCGCATTCATCCCGGTCGGCGCAGCCCCCGGCCCCGTCCTCCTCATAGCCCAGCTGGCAGCGGCACTGGAAGCCGCCGGGGAAGTTGTCACACAGCTGCTCACACGGGCCCGTGGCACACTCGTCCGTGTCCTCGCACGCACGCCCGTCGCTGGCCAGCGTGTAGCCCACGGGGCACAAGCACCGGTACCCTCCGGCCTCTCCTGGCACACACTCAAACTGGCAGGGGTGGTTCTGGCAGCCATCGGCTGGGGCACAGGAGTGCCCGTCAGGCAGCAAGGTGTGGCCGGCGTGGCACTCGCAGGAGTAGCTGGGACCCTCGTCCACGCACAGCTGCTGGCAGCCCCCATTGTCACCCTCGCACCAGTCCCCCTGCTCCTCCCCGCACAGGGGCTCCTCCTTGGACCAGCCCACGGCGCCGTCGTCCTGCTGCATGCACAGCACCGAGACAGGGGCTGCGTTGCCACAGGCCACGGACGCCACCGTGCCGAAGGGGATGTGGCTCAGGGCGCTGCTGACCCGGCCGAAGGGCGTCGTGTAGCTCACGGGCCCCGTCTCCTCCGTGGCCAGCCCGTGGCACATGCCAGCGAAGCCGAAGTGGCAGAGGAAGCCGTCCACGGGCAGGGTGCACGAACCCTCCAGCCACTGGAAATTCTCCTGCGCGGCCGGGCCATAGCTCAGCACCACACAGCGCGAGGCCGAGCAAGCAGCACCCCCGGCCGGCTCGGCCCGCGCCCAGTTGGTGTAGAGCGTGTCTTGGTCGCCGGTGGTCCAGGTGAAACCACGCAGTGGGCGCTGCGGGAAGCATTGGCGTGGCTGGCGCTGCAGCCCGATCCAGAAGAGCCGCTGCTGCCCTGTACCCGGGCCCGTGGCCTGCAGCAGCTCCGCCACCTGGGCGGCCTCCTCGTGGTGCTTGAGTGTGGCCAGGTTCCCGCCGCGCTCCCGGCAGCTCCGCCAGGACTCCAGGAAGCTGCGGCGTTGGAAGAAGACAACGTAGCAGCCCTCGGGGCCGCAGGCAGCCTCGAGCCCCGGCCAGGCAGCCTCGGGCCCCGGCCAGGCACCCCGCACTGGCCCCACCAGCCCAGTCAAGAGCAGCCAGAGACACAGCATCGTCCTGGCGCCCACGGCTGCCTGCTCGGCTCTGTGCCTCGGCACGGAGCCCCTGCCCTTCTCTTCCCCTCGGCGGGGAGGGGCAGGATGGGACGGTGCACGCCCCTGCCCTTGTAAGGCAGAGAATTGGTCCCAGGCCCAGGGAGAGGGGGAGACAAGCTGGGAGGGGCAGCTGTGGGGATCCTGGACAGCCTGACCCAGAGGATGGAGGCAGGGTATGTGTGTGTGTGAGACCTTCCCTTGCTTGCGGCTGGATGAGAAATGCAGACCCCACTCCTCTCCAAGAGCTGGGATAGATCCCCGGAGTCCTGGCTCCTAGCCCTCCTGATCTGACCACTAGATCCCGCTCCTCTCCTAGAGCTGGGGTAGATCCCCAGAGTCCTGTCTCCCAGCCCTCCTGGTCTAACCACTAGACATACCACTCCCCTCCTAGGGCTGGGGCTAGAACCCACGAGTCCAGACTCCCTGTCCCACCACCCTGCTTTCCTCTAGTAATTGCTGAAAGGAACAGACAGTGAATCTGCAGAGAATGGGTGTGTACAGTGACCATATGCTGCGGCTCACACTGACACACACATACAAAGACACGTGCATATGCACACACAACACACTCACACACACTCTGCATACACTGCTCCATCCCCCTCGCCCACCCCAGTCCCAGACCTACTTCAGCCCTTTGTTCCAGAAACCTGGAAGTTGGAACACTGGGTTGGAATTTGGTTCCTCACTTCTCCCCCCCGCCCCCATGCCCTGCTGGGAGCGGGGAGAGGCTCACCGTGCGTTTCCTCCCGCCATCCTCCCCAGGACCTCATGATGATTAGGGCGATTCCCACGGGGAGCTGAGACCCGCAACAGGGCGCTGGGCTCAGACTGGGGGAAGTCAGTGTGCACATGGGTGTGCATGCACAGGAGAGTGAGTGCACACAAAGGTGCGCATTGCATGGGAGGGCAGGAGAGCGTGGGGGGGGGACATAGAGGGACCAGAATTGTTCCTCGCCCTCACTTTCCCACACATGTGTGAGTACCCCCATGTGCAGCTTAGTTGGACGTGCATGCACATGTGCACACTTGTGTGTGTATGCTGCACACACGCAAGCTCTCTTGTGCAAGCTCAGTTTCTTCTGCCTTCTAACTTTCCCCTGAAAGCATACCCGCCTGTGTACACACATTCCTGGGCATGCACATCCATCTGTACGCACACCCTCCCATGCATGCATTTTCCTGGGCATGCACACCCCTGTGCATACATACACTCCTGTTCATGCACGTGTTCCTTACTTCGTCATTCACACACTGGTGTGATCATTGTCCCATTGCACACCTGCGCAGACTCCCTCACGCATCCTCCCATGCTGCCACACACCCATGCCACCACATTGTCTTAGAGGCTCCCACACTCACCAATGTGTATGCATAGTTGCACTGCCATGCATGTGCATGCACACCTGAGCATTTGCACATGTGCATTCACTTGTGGGCACACCCCTGGGCATATTTGCACAGGTGCTTCCCATGCACTCCTACCTGCTCACCCTGTCTACTAAGCCAACTGGCAGTCCCTAGGGGACCCCATTCCTGGGGAAGCCGAGGCCAGCAGTACAGGTTCGCAAGGCTCTGGAGCGCCCCCCCATGGCCAGGCGAGGGGAGACAGGGAAGGGTCCGAGCTCTGCGATCCAGGAATCTCGGGCTGCAGCCCCGACTAGGGGGGCAGGGATCCCAGCTGTCTCTGCTGTGAACTAGGGGTGTGTGTGTGTGTGTGTGTTAGGCGGGCTTTGTGGCGGGTGTGTGTTTCGGTGTGTGTGGCATGAGCCGAGGGGGAGGGCACAATGGGCCAGCCGCGGGGGCTGGCGGGGGGAGGGGAGCCGGGGGCGAGGGCTGCAGGTCGGATGGAGGCGCAGCGCGGAAATGCATGGAATTCCTTGCGTGTGGGAACCAGGAGGGGAGAGGGGGGCGGCCGGCCGTGGGGCCTTTCCCCGCTAGGGGGCGCCAGCTCTGCTCCCCTCCAGCCCCAGCTGGGGGCAATGGCTGGCTCAGGGGAGTGGGACACTCCCCCCAAAGGCACACGGGCTCCGAGCCAGCGCCCGTTCAGGGCCCCTCCGAGAGGTGAGTTTTCTGTCTCAGCCTGGTCCCTGTTGGGGCAGGAGCCCCCGCCCCATAGGTAGTAAGTAACCACATCCCGTGCTAGCGGCCCCACAGGGATCCCCACGGCGGGGGTGAGGGTACCCCAGGCATTCGCTATGGGAGCTCTTCCGCCCCCTTTCCCCTCGTTCTATTCAACGCCCCCCCGCCCCCCTGGTTTCTGCTTGGTTGTTTTAAGAGACTGCAAGAAACACTGGCTTGTGGCTGATGGAGCTGGGCCCCCCTGGATCTGCTTGGGGCTGGGGGAGACACTGACCCCTAGACCCCGCCAGGTATTCACCCCCCACCCTCCGATCAGACCGATGAACCCATCCCGCCCCGCTCCCCCTTCCCCTTCCGGCTGCAATGGGCCCATTCAGCCGGGTATCCCTGTGGGGAGGGATGGGGGTCAGGGAGCCAGCCCCTCCCTCGTTTTCATCCCCTTTCTGGACTCTTTCAGGCGGGGGGGGGAAGGCTCTGTACTGGAGGGATGGGGGGGGGGGCTGATTCTGCCCTGGGTCCTCGTTGCAGGCTCGGGTGGGCGGGGAGAGGAGCTCCCCAGTTAAGGGGCCTCTAGGCTGGGCTATAGGGATCCTAGCGCAGTGATGTGGGTTGAGCACCACCTGGTGGCAATGGGAGGAACTGAGAGCCAGGGCTCCTGGCTTAGCTCTGAGAGGAGAGTGGTGTCTAACGGTCAGAGCATGGGCGATGCTGGCAAACTTTGCATGCAGTGAGTGACTCGATTTACCCCATGCCAGGCAGGGAAATGCACGTGTGAATCACTCCCATGTAGTTAGTCTTGAAGACCTGTGCTGCCCCCTGGCAGCCTGGGGCTGACACTGCCTAAGCCCTATGGTCTGTAAGGGCAGGCAGAATTCCTAGTTAGCAACAAGGATTATTCTTGGCATTTGGCCCAATGGCCTTGCCCCTCCAGGACCTCACAGCCCCTGATAGACCCCAGCTGTGGGGGATAGGACAGGTAATGTTGATATTGGCCCTTTACACAAAGGGCCACAGTGGGGGCTGGGTGAGCATCCCCCACTCCCCTCCCCTAGCTGGGGATAGACCCCAGGAGTCCTTGCTCCCAGCTCCTGTGCTCTAACCAACAGATCCCACCCAGAGCTGGGGATAGACTCCAGGAGTCTATTTACACACATGCCATTCCCACCTTCATCACAGTGGCCCTGTGTGTAGTGCAGGGCTGGGGAGAGCTGAGGTCCCCTTGGCAGGGAAACAATCATGGCGGGCTCAGAGTTCCAGACCTGGACATGGTCTCGTGCCCCATGCCTGGCAGCCCTAGGGACTGTGTCATCACAGCTCCCCCCAGCCCAGAGCATCTCCCGTTACGTGTATGGAGGGAGCAGGGGAGCCACTCCAAGGCCTGACTCCTGCCCTTAAGGATGGGGGCAGATCCCCCAGGGAGGCCAGATTCAGCGCTCACGGTTACATGGCTGCTTGGCCCCACTAGGAGCTGGGCTGGGACCCCCCTCCAAGTCAATCCACTCATGGGACACAGAACAGGGACCAGCACCCCACAGAGGGGAAAGGCCCCATATCTCACTCCCCTGAGCCAGCCTGTGCTTGAACCAGAGCTGGGACATACACTTCTTCTCAGCTCTCCCTCCCCAGCAGAGACAGGAGACAGAGAGACACTAAGAAGCAAAAACAATTTAAAAATCAGGGTAAAAAACCCATTTACAGGTTTCTGTGTGTGCGGGGGTGATTTTCCTCCGCCATGTTCAATACAGAGAATGCGTCGCTTGGGAATCCTGCCCCAGGCCCAGCAAACACTCCCCCATGTCTGCACCCCAGCACTGCAGTGTGGAGAGAGGGGGGCATGGAAAGAAGTTCCCCCACCCCACCAATGCAATCAGGCTCCTGCAAAGCTTGTGAATAACCCTTTAAGGCCAGCCATGTGCTTGGGAAAGGGTGGGGCTAGTTGGGGCCCCACCCCAATCCAGTTTGTTGTGTCATTGATCCCTTTATTCCTCCCCTCAAATTTCCTCCCCAACACCCCCTTATTTGCTTCCCAAGGGCCAATCCCACAGGGATAGGGGGCCCCAGCTAGCCCCTCCCTCTGGTCCCTACAGCACATTCCCCATGGTGTTAGCCAGACTTGGGAGTGGGAGACTCCCTGGCCTCATTGACCCCTCCCCAGCAGGGGCATCTCCCTGAGATCCAGCCCAAAACAGCCTTGTCTGAACCCCACCCGCTCCTGCCTCTAGCAGGCTGCTGCAGGGGCCCACTTGGCCCCTAGGGGGAAGGGAGACATCACTGATGTGGCCAGGGCAGAGCCCAGGGATTGGGATGGAGAGTGCCCTGGGCCTATGAGAGAGGCACACCGTCCCTCTCCCCACCCCACCCAGACCCAACCCCCTGGCACTATGATTATTCTCCCCCACCCCCACCCCCAGAAAAAAGGTTCCCAAAAGAAGCCCTGTGATTGGTCAGCCTGCGAGAAAGGCAGAATCAAGGCGATACTGACAGGGAGGAAAGGGTTAATGAAGAGATGGGGCAGCTGAGCTAGTGGGGAGGGGGTGAGACAGGGGTGTCCCTATCTCACAGTGACCCCCAGCTTCTCCAGGATGCGGGTCCCCTTTTCCAGGTACTCGGCTCGCTGCAGCCAGAAGGTATCCTTGTCCTTCATGATGTCGGCCAACACGGCACCCCCCAGGAACACCATGTGCTTCCGCCGTGGTGGGTCCTCGATCCGGATCTTGAATTTCTGCAGGGGGAGAGAAGACCATTTATTAAAAACGGAATCCCCAGGATTCAAACCCAGAGCCAGGAGAAGAGGCTCCGCCCCCTCGGCTATGGGACGAGTGTGACTGGTCTCAGTCACAGGGTCAATGGGATCAGGATTTCACCCCTGGATTTTAAGGCCAGAAGGCCTGTTCTGAACCCCTGCATCACCCCTGGGCAAATCCCCCTCACATGGCAGGGGCCTCCTTGGCCCCAC